CCCCAAAACCCCAAAACCCCAGCATTGATTATAGGAAGAAAAACATTAGATAAGAAATTTAATGCAAATCAAATTAAATTATTATTAGGATTTTTCTCAGAAGACAGATTATTTAAAGTAATGGAAACAAATATCATACATAATGTAGCATAATCAAATTAAATGCAGGATTCTAAAGAGCCTTTACTTCAAAGACACCTTGATTGTGAATAAGAAGCTATAGATTAATACGCATTAACTAAGTTTTGTGAGATTTGCTATGAGGATCACAATGTTGATTAGTTTATAACAAATGGCTTGTGTTAACATTTATTTTGTCGACAGGGATTAATTGATAACTACACCTACTAAATAAATCTCTCAGGGAAAATTCTCAAACTCAGTTGTCCTCAGAAAGATTGTTAAGTCGTGGTCACAGAGGAGTTCCTGTAAGGTCTATTGAACTAAGATTTAGTTGAGAAGTACAAGAAGTTTAAGCTAAATGCATTGGTTCAATCTGATAAGAATTCTAAATTTTGTCCGACACCTAATTGCGAAAATATTATTAATGTGTCAGACACAAACACAAAGAAAATAAAATGTGATAAATGCAAAAAGGATATGTGTTTCTCGTGCTCTATTCCTTGGCACAGCGGGCTTAGTTGCTAGAAAGTGACAGATAAACTTTTCAAAGGCTGGATTTACAAAATGAATGCTCACAAATGTCCTAATTGCAGATCTCCTATTGAAAAAAATGAGGGTTGTAATCATATGCATTGTACCCTTTGTGATTATCACTGGTGTTGGGTCTGTGGAAGACAGTTAATTAGTTACATTCATCCTCGAAATCCAATGATTTTTGTATACTGTGGAATTGCTCCATCTACTAAGAAAGCCAAATGCCAGTTCTACTTAATATTTTCATGCATTATGATGTGCATGCCATTTTTATTACTCATCAGTATGGCTTTATATTGTTTCCAATTTTCACCTTTGAAAGGAAGCCTAGATAAATTTCCAAAGATATAACCTAGATCTATATTCTGGCAAATAATGTGTTGCTTACCTGCTTTTGTTTATATGTTTATTCTGGTTTTCATTATTGTAGCTATAGCTTATGGTTTCAGTTTAGCAGTCTTTCCATTTGTTATTTGTCCATCTTACTTCTTGAATTGTAGAGATTTCATAAGGATATTGAAAAATTGGTCAAGCAAAAAGAGAACTAATTCTCCTGAGGGTCATCCACATTAAGTACAAATAGATTTAGAATAATAATAACCATTAAATCAGGGTAATTTAATTGAGCTTTTATAAATGAGTACCTTAAAATTAAAGAGAAAAACATTAATCTCAACATACAATTGAAGAGGTGTGATGAAAATGAAATGAAATTTTTCAAGAGAGTAAAATAACATCGAACTTAATATAATATCTTATTTGATTTGCAATTAAAACTATTCATCTCATTCAATAACTAAAAGCAACGCGGGGTTTTGGGGTTTTGGGGTTTTGGGGTTTTGGGG